GACGATGAATCAATCGATCGGTTCCTGGATGATCTTGAGAGCTTGAGAAGAAGGAGTGATCCTGAAGAATCAACAAACAGAAGGAACATCAGCATCGCCTCAAAATTTATCGATGGGGTTAAAAGTGACGACTTGAGAACAATGTTGGCAACGTATTATACACTGTCGAAAGATAATGCACCGACTCCGGAAGAGATGAGGCAAAAATCAAGGGAGTACATGTTGATGAAACCAAAGAAATACTCGTACCCAGAGAATAGGAACATGCAAGGGGGGAGTCAACCACAGAGGTCGTCATGATACAAGCCTAGAGATGATATGGACAAACGCAAGTCATGCGCAAATTGCGGATCAGCGGATCATCACGTGGCGGATTGCACGACGTACAAGCAAGGCACGACGTAAAAGCAAGGCTGTCCGTTGTTTTGGGAAGCAGTGAAGAACCAAACTCAATCAAAACACAAGCTAGCGCTGGCGGCGGTACAGAACACGAGGAACAGGCAGGCCGAGTTTCACACAAAAAACTCGGAGGCACCGAGTGCGGAACTGCCGACAAAAACGGTGAAGGCTGTAGCACAAGTCAAGAATCCCATAGAAGCCAAGACCAGGAATTCTCTAGAAAAAAACTATGAGAAAGCAGCGGCGGAGGCCATCAAAAAAGTGAAACAAGACCTAGCAACGAAAGGAATCGAGCAACGACTAAAACAGGAGAGTTAAATCAGAAGTTGAACGAGACACTAAGTAGGTCAGTGCCAATGCCAGAAGCAGAAGTGGGAGCGACAAAGAGTGGAAATTGCAACACTCTAAAAATGGTGACTGGTAAGCCATTCGGCATAACAAAAATCGGAGCCAGGATAATGTCGATAATCACTGTGGTCGGCCACGAAGTAACGAGAAACCTGAGTGAACCAAGCGATCAGACGACAATGCACATTGATGTGTACGCAGATTACTTAAGTGCAATAAGTCCGCAGACAACTTCTAGAGCCTTGAGGGCACTACTCACAAGAGGTGGTAGCAAGTCAGTACGCGTCGAGAAAAGGTACACGGAAGCCTATGGTTCACATGAGGTGATGTTAAACATAGATGGAATAAACATCTACACGAAGACCATGATAACATGCGACGAAGTCCTAGCTGGACAGATCTACGTGGGCAGGGAAGAACTAAAAGTGAGATCAATTGGACACTGTGCCATGTTGGAAGAGGATGCAATGCATATCGGTACAGAAGCGGACGTATTGGCACACGTGCTTGACATAAATGGCAAGAGGACTCAGTTACGCGGGTTACTGGACACGGGAGTGGTCTTGAGCGTTATACCAATCGAAACTTGGGAGCGAATGCGCTTCATCAAAGACGATTTGATAGACTCGAGAATTTGGCTGTCGGCTGCAAACAAAGGGGCACTGCGAGTACTGGGCAGGACACCAATAATAGCCCTAAATTTGGGGGAACGCAACCTGTGGATGAGCTTTCTTCAGGTGGAAAACCTAGATGAGTATGACCAACTCATTTTAGGCAGGAACTTCATCAGAAATTTCGAAGTAACAATTGATCTAAGCAATGCCATGTTCAGGATTCGGAATCCGGAAAGGAAGTACGTGATTAAACCGGTAAATTTGATAATGGCGAATGAAAATAAAGCGCCGGTATTCTTGAGTAGGAGGGTGAGGCCGAAAGCAAACGAAGCGGTAATCGTAAGCTTGCGAATGAAAAATTATAATGAACTAAGTGACGACAAGCAGGTATGTATAGTCCCAAATCCAAGTAGTCAGAGTGCTGCTGTTTTAGGAAGATCCTTCTCGATAATCAAGAGCGGTCTCTGCGTCAGTGTCTTGTTGAATACTCTTGACATACCCATCACAATCCAGAAGGGAAGGAAACTGGGATACGCTGTACCTGTGAAAACTCGATATGAAATGACTGAAAATGTAAAGAGAATGAAATTCTTGATTGTCCTAATCATAGGAACAAGATTTGTATCTTGAGAAAATTTAAAAAAACAAAAGATTCATCGGATCTTGTGAAATCACTTAAGTCATAGACAGACGATGGACTTTCGAGCTGTTCGAATTTCCCGGAAAGACCCACACTAGAGGAAATGGAAATGGATAAATCGGTTCTACCCGAAATAGAGCACTTGAGGGGCAAGGTAACGGATGAACAGCTCGAAGCCATTAAGGAAGGACGTACTGGAGCGGAAGGAGGACGTTTTTTCGAAACATAAAGCAGACATTGGATGTTGTAATTTTGTTGAACATTAAATAGAGCTTGAAGAGTCGGCCGTGCCGCACAGGGAGGGGATAGAGACCTTACTAGAGTATGATATGATAGAACCATCCAAATCACCGTGGGCGTGGTGATGGCTAAGAAGAAAGGCGACCAATTGAAGTTTTGTTGCGACTTTCGATACCTGAACTCCGTCACGGTGAAAGATGTCTATCCCATACCTAGGACTGATGAGAGCCTCGCAAAGTTAGGGGACGCAACATTTTTTACGACTCTTGATTTAGGATCAGCTTTTTGGCAGGTTCCACTGAGGAAGCAGGACAGGGACAAAACCGGGTTTGCCTGCGAGCTGGGGCTGTTTCAATGGAAGAGGATGCCCTTTGGTCTTTGCAACGCCACGGCTACGTTTCAACGATTGACGGCACACGCATTGATAGGTGTAACAAAGAAATACGCAACCTGGTAATGTGCTACGTGGATGACGTGGTAATTACGACACCGACACTAGAGGACCATATCGAGCGACTAGACGGGGTGTTCGCCTGCATGAAGAAATTGGGACTAAAGTGCAAACCATCAGAGTGCGAAATACTCAAGGACTCGATTAATTACCTGGGGAGAATGGTGGATAGACATGGCATCAGACCAGACCCAGATGCAGTAGAAGCGGTTCTGACCTGAAAATCGCCAAAAACGGAACATCAACTGATGAGCTTCTTGGATTTTGCGAACTATTACAGGGAGTTCTTCAAGGGCTATGCTGACAAATTGTACCCGATTCAACAACTGATGAGGCACAAAGGCAAGAAATTCACGTGGAAAAATGCAGCAGAGGAGTCATTCCAGAGAAGAAAGAAGGAGTTGTGTGAAGCACTGATTTTAGGGATGCCAACGGAAAAAGGAATGTACGTGCTGGACACGGATGCGTCGGTAGTAGCGATTTCTGGCATTCTCCATCAACAGCAGGAATGGAATGGAAAACAGTCTTGAGACCAATAGCATACGTATCTTGAGTGATACGTAAGAAGTACTGGGCGCCCAAAGCAGAGATGTTCGCAGTGGTTATCTTTGTCGAAAAATACAGGGCATACCTAGATAGCGAGCCGTTCGAGCTACGAGTCGACAACAGGGCATTCAGCTGGTTGAAAACGTACTCAATGGATCAGAGCTACATAGGGAGATGGATAGTTCGCCTGGATGGATACAACATGAAAATTGAGCATAGGACAAGAGACAAACATCAAAATGCCGAAGGCTTGAGAAAGAAGACGGAGTTCTACGAGAGACAGGAACAGAGGGACGCAGATAGGCCAGAAATCAAAGATGGCTTCTCCTTTATGGATAAGGAAACGTTTGATAGTCTTCCACTCACGAGATGGCTCGACAAGTCTGGCAAACCCATAAAATATCACCCCGAATTACCACTGGAACGTCCAGAGAAAACAATCTTGAAAAAGACCCAAGGGATGCCAATGGAGATAATGCTCAAGTCAAAAGTTGTGAGGGAGACACTCAAGGCAAAAGGCTATGATCTCAACCAAGTAGAAACGGGAAGAGCAGAGATAGATGAAGACTTGAGGAGATTACTCGAGAGACTGGCAGACGATAAACCCGTGGTAAAAGAAAAGGGTGAAGAGGAACCAGAGGTCACGATATTGAGAAGTAATATGGCGGCTGGTAGCGAGGACTCCTCGAAAGAAAGGAAACCTGATGAAAAAGAAGTCGTGCAGTCATTGGTTGAGAGGATTCCTGAGGACATACTTGAGCGGACTATGGTTTGGAAGAAGAAGAAGGTGGCATTCAAGGAGGAGGCTGAACACCTCGGACTGAGTCAAGAGTCTGGGGATTGGGACAATGCAGAGGAAGATACTGAAGAAGAAAATTTGTCCGGGGAGTGTGAAGAATAGGATGAAGACTCAGAGAAGAGCAGCGATGACCAAGATAGTCTATGCCTGATATTGGCGGAAGAGAAGATGAGGCACCGTGACAGGGAACTACAGACGGATTTATCATCAGTGACGTACAATTTGGATCAGCAGGAGGTGCGCGGAGGTGAAGAACTTGAGAGAATTGCAATATCAAGGAAACCGTTCAGGGAGCTATCATGCAACACGAATGTCAGAACGAACATGGTGCCAGAAGATGACAGGAAGGTCTTGAGGAGGATAGTTTCCACAGTCCCGGAGAAAATAATAGTCAAATAATGGCACTGAAGGAACACGTTAAGGCGAGATATAGGCTGTCGGATCTGATACGAGCCCAAAAGAATGACAAGATGACAAGCAACCTCTCCAAAGGGATCCGGACGGGAGAGCCAAGGAGAAAGGGGACCTGGAAGAAGACAGCTACAAGATCTTGATCCAGTTCTTCAAGGAGAGGAATGATTTGCTCTATCACACAGCTGATGGGGTGGTAGCATGCAGGAGAAAGGATGAGGAGAAGATACTACACAAGCATAACCTCATCATACTACCACAGTTGTAATAGACCACTTTTCGAAGTTGGCGGAAGCGGTGCCCTGTCAAACAGCCTCAGCGGAGGATACTTGTGACCACTTGATAACACATTGGATATCACGATATGGTTGTCCGATGACATTTCAGTCGGACAACGGGAAAGCCTTTGTGGGTGACCTGATAAAAGAATTGATGAAGAGGTCACACATTGCTCAAGCGCACTCAACGACTTACCATCCTCAGACTAACGGGTTAGTGGAGAGACAGAACAGAACGTTGGTAAACATGCTGAGGGTAAATTTCTCGAGATACATGACAGACTGGGATAAATATCTGCCGCAATTGGTCGGGGCTTACAACAGCACGCAACACTCGACAACAGGAATCAGTCCCTTCATGATGCTAACGGGCAGGGAGAGAGCAATGCCCCTAACGTTCTTTTACCCAGAATACGAAGGGAAAAAGACGTCGCCACAAGCCTATGTGAAGCAAACGGTCAAAAAACAACAGGATCTAAACGAACTGTGCAGGAGGAACACGACGCAAGCACAAATGAGGCAGCTGAAGAAATATGATGAGAAGATACGTCAAGCTAAACCGTATGCAGTGGGCCAGTACGTCTGAGTGTTCCAGAATGTTATAACTCCTAAGGGGACAAAAAAACTACTCAAGAAATTGCGAGGACCCTTCATGATCACGGAAGTACACCAGCAGGGACGGTTCTACCGCTTGAGTACGGGGAGAGCAGCGCATTATGAAAATCTGAAGTCTCATGTCCCATCTCCGGAGGACTCGTGCGTACCGCAGAATATGGAGGGACTAGAGTACCTATTGGTAGAGCCAGCATGCGAAGTGAACGAAAAAGGCACCAGAGAAAAGAATGTTGGCAACGAGGACGTGAGCATGGACGATAATGAAAAGATAGAAGCAGACTCAGAAGCGGAATCCTTTGCGGAAGAAGACTGGAATGATCCAGAGCAGAACGAGGTTCCAAAAAGGACGGAACCAGACTTGCCGATAACAGCAAAAACAAGGAGTGGAAACCGCAAACGGACATGCATGAGGTACAATAGGTACGGGGACAATTTCTTGATTGACAAGATACAGCCTGATGAGCTAGGTGAAGAGTTACTGAGTGTGGGTGAGTTGGTAGCGGACGACGAATGGCAAATAATCAATGCCAGTGAACACTATCCGCAAGAAGACTACTCTACACCAGAACAAGAAACAGATCTGGAGCAGAGCGAGATAGAGAGGAGGGAAAACACAAACTTGAGATTACTAGAGTGGATGCGCGATGTCAAGGGCAAAGGAGATGAAGAGCAAAGCATCCAGCAGGTCGACGTGTCAGCAGAAAAACACGTGAAAACGAAAGATCCCCTCTTCGGTTGGACAGCAACCGAGAGGCCGCTCAAGATACCACCAGATAATTCAGACCCAGCATCATTGACGGGGACGTCGATAAATATTTTTTCCGGGGATTGGGGTAGGACTTACCCACACCAAAAATTTGATGATAAAGAAACTCAGAGAAGTGAGAGAGACCAGCGGGCTGGAACTGGATGAGGAAGAGGTTGAGCCTACCATAGGACGAAACTTCAAAACAAAATTTGAGATACCCAATGAATCCTGATAACGGGCAGCGACTTCATTTTGTCAGACAGGACAAGCGCGATCCGTATAACGGCGGACATGAGCTTCAAATCGAGACTAAAGGCCGACTTCAAGAGAGAATATCAGAACATGGAGTTTCTATTTAGACAGAGACCGGGGCTGGGAGGAATGGCTGCGCTTGCCCCCATCAGTTTCACAAGTCCCGGATAAATACCTGTGCTTTCTGGTAACGAGGATCAAAAAAAAAGTAACACGATAGATCCAGAGCACGTTATATTGGCACTAACGAGCCTGAGAGACTTCGTGGTCGAAAGAAGGATAATGGAGGTCTCGATGCCGGTTTATGACCCAAATAGGGGCAAGTTGAGCGCAAGGGAGTTATACGCCATCCTACACGTGGTCTTCGCAGAAACGGAGATAATGGTACACCTACACAAGAAATACTACTTGAGTATCCCCTGAGTTACGGGCGGAAAATGGAGGTCTCGAGTTAGGGACAATGGAGGTCTCGAATTAGGGACAATGGAGGTCTCGAGTTAGATACGTAGGGGCGCGAGTCAGGTGGACGGATTTTAATGTGATTGGCATGACAATTAAATCTTAAAGAATTAATGGTGCTAAAACATGAATTGAATCTGCATGCTCTTAAAACTTACAATTGAACTATTTTAGTAGAATAGTTGATGGGATAATGTTTTAAACACAATCATGGGGGGGGGGCTTAGGTTAGGCACAGGATATTTCGGTCTAAAAACTGCATTCTATTTTCAGATTGATTTGCAAAATTGAGTTGACGACCTAGACGCACTAATTTAAAAAGAAAAAAAGTTGACGATCTGCAGCATTTGAAGGGAGACGTTTCTCAGTTCTCAAGTTGGTTGGTAGGATATTTCTCAAGTTGGTTGACAAAGTAATTCTCAAGTTGGTTGACAAGGTAATTCTCAAGCTGGTTGACACGTGAGAGCATCTGAAGATTGTGACAATGGCAGATCGGTTTTGGAAATCTATGCCTGCAGCGCTCAAGAGACCTACGCTCAATGAACTATACAAACGCTTGAGGGATCTGGACTACATCCAAGTCGATGAGAGGATGGCGGTGATGTTGAACGCCATCCTACAGTAAGAGGCGCAGGGTGAAAGCGGGGAATCAGCGACAGAAGCTGTTTTGATGTTTGGCTACACGACGGAGGGGATATCCAATCCAGAACGGACCAGATGGTTCTCCTCGAATGTGGATGGGGGCGTGAGGGGATTCGACTTGGCGAGGAACCCTGGCTTGAGCAACAACACAGAATATGGCGCTGGAAAATTTCCGCTCCCAGCCAGACCACCAGCGGGGCTCGCGGCCCAATCCACGATCAGGCCGTCGTCTATGATACGGTCTCAACAGACAGAGGAGGCATATCCGGACATCAGTAGCTTGAAGAAGGAACTAGAGAAGGCACAGAGGGAGAAAGACAAAGCGAACCTTGACAGGGAGGGCGCGAAGCTTGAGAGGGACCAGGCAAACCTGGAGAGAGATCAGGCGATCCTCGAGAGGGATCAGGCGTGGCGTGATCTCAACATGGTCAGGGCGGAGTACCAGCAAGAATAGAGGGTCCGTGAGAACGAAGCGAACTGCGAGCAGCTGAAGCTGGAGATGGAGAAGCTTCAGAGAAGACAACGAGAGCTCGCGAGACAGAAAGAAAAGAGGACACGGACAACAGAGCAAGCCGCCACAGCATCGAGACCTGAATCGCGTATGGAGGTGGACGAGGCTCCTAGGCCCAGCGGCCGATTCAACTTAGACAGGGCGGCCCAGGAGCACATGAATGAGAGGCTGGAGGCGTGGATACCACCCGAACCGTTGCCCTCTGTGCACAGTCTGGATACGCAATCGATACGGCCATTGATGGAGGTCAAGCTCCCATGTCATACCCCTAATTCAACCACGAGCAGTAGCCAAGCTGAGTCGAGTTCATTATGTCTCAAGGTACTGCAAGATATGTTACAGTCGAGAGCCCGTGACGATTCGGTGAGGGAAGGGCGACCTCCTACTTGGAGGGACCATCCAGTTAGGAGTGTGACAACCGCGAGCGACAAGAAAAATAAGGATGGTGCATGCCACAGGCACAACCGAATGGACTGGACGGCAGCGCAGAGGGCCAGGAGGGATTATTTCCATGACGCGGCCTGGGCTGAATATTTCACTCAACCTAGGATACCGTATGGTGCAGTTCACCTGATCATAGGAGACAGCTTGATACGGGTGCTGACGCAGATCCAGTCACAAGGGCAGGTTGGGGTCTCAAGTTTTTCTGGAGCTGCGACGCCGCAGATTTTGGCGTCCCTGGGAATGTTGGATTTGGTGAAGATGTACACGGTCACTCTGATGATGGGGACTAATGATGTGTCTAGAGGAGAGTCAAGGAAGGTGATGAAGTTGCACGAGAAGATGAGTTGTATCCTTCAAGAGCTGAGTATTTGGTTTGATCCCGCACTACTCACCATCTGCACGGTCCTATACAACATGATGTTTGACCAGCATGCTATGGAAACGAATGAGAAGTTGCGAAATATCCATGAAGAAATCAGGCAGATTCAGCAGAGAAGCGTGCTCCCCATGAGGTTGCTGGATGTGGCTGACCTGATGGAACACTCCCTCCCGCGCGATGCATCCTCGGATGGCATCCACTTTGACACGCCCAAGGGAACGGAGTGGCTACATGGTGTCTTCCAAGGGCATATAAACCTGCTAGAATCAGACCTGCTAGAAATGGCCCAGTTTACCTTGGGTCCACCCCTATCCCTCCTTTCTATTCCCCTAGATCCCTATCCAGCCGTATGGGAGCGAGAGCTGATTCGAGAGATAGTTCGAGGAGCAGCCGGACCAGGCAACCAGGGTCCACACCGATGGAGGCTGAGGAGGCGGAGTCTTCCACGCCCCAGAGTTCGCTGGTGTCTTCGGTGGTGGTGGTGGACAGCAAGAAGATGGAGAAACCAGCAGAGGCGAACAAGACGCGATATTCGGAGAGAGTAAAAGAGTTGGACCTGGAGGATTTGGAGTTCAGACAGGAGTTGGCGGAGGTCTTGGGGCTCAATGATGTGTCACACGAGGACTTGAGTCGACCACACTGCGTAGATCGGTTGAAAGACCATGAGGCACACTTCTCATGAGCAAAGACAATGGTGTCAGCTGACTTGACCGGGATCCCGCTGAAGTCGATGATGGTACCGATAAACTACAGACCACTCAAGCAGTTGGGAAGTCCGGGACTTATAGTGGAACCTCCCAAACACCGAACAAGTGTAGCCCGGATCAGGGTGGCAACTCCCGCACAGTTAAGAGTGGTGGAGAAGCTGCTTGAGCCGGGGGACATGGGGCTCCTGGATGCCGCGTACGAGGGTACTAAGTTAGCCGATGATCCTAGATATGGTAAACCCTGTGGGGACTCGCAGTTGGCGAAAACATTGGCAATATATGATCGATCAGACCCGGGAGCGGCAAGTGATTATTGTGGCGGGCTCGGATTTTGAAGGGACGTCTCCAAAACTGATTTGGCCGGAAGTCGGAAATGCGCGGAGCTAAATCAGATGCCAACCCTAGTGGTAGCGATCAAGTCGGAAATGCCTTGTGAGCCGGAGTTACTGCTGTTCGTAGGATTGAACGATCACTTGCATTCGGCGGGATTACTAGAGCACCTGAAGGGAGAGGCGCCAACGCCTAAGAAGATCTGGGAGGCGATCCAAACGTTGTTCACTGCAATGAACGAGGTGCAGGAAACGGTGGTTTCTAGGTTCGGACCCAGATCGAGAGTGGCGTTTACGACGTCCCCGGGCTACGCGAGCATGCCACCCGCTTTGCAATTCGTGCATGCCATGTTGATCTTGATAGCGGAAGGGAACGCGTGGCGGGTACTGATAGCTGCCCCTAATCGCGAGCTAGAACCGACAAACTTGAGGCTCCTGAAGTCAGAACAGGCAGCGGCATGGGCTGACTTGTCTCATGCCTTGAGGGGATTTCATGAATT